AGCTGGGTGTGGATTAAGGCCCATAAGCGCAAGTGGAGTGATCCAAGGTGGACCGGTCCTTGGGAGGTAGTATTGGCAACGTCACACTCGGTAAAGGTGAAAGGTAAAGCGGGAGCCACTTGGCATCATCTCACACATTGTGCACCTGCTAAGGCACCAAGCCAGACCCTTGCGGAGACCCGATTAAATACCAGGCAAGTTAATTCAGAGCCAAAAGACACAGGAGGGAACAAAGCAGCAGAAAATGTCTCGCCCACAGCGTACGTATCAGTTGGTAGTAGGGGGTTCAAGTTCAGCTCGGGGAAGTGCAGCTGTTCACACAGGTGACGATGACATGACGTCTGTAAGTGATCTATCCCATCCCAGTCGACAAGATGTTTCCTTACCACCTAACATCCAAGCAGCAATTGCTCTCACGTTGACATTCAAGGAAAATATAACTGCATCTGTTCAATTTGATTATTGTGATATTGCAGCCTGCGGAGTCCGAGACCTCAGGTTTTGGAGGTCGGACCAATACTTGTGTTCCACCACCAACCGATGTGGACCAGGAGTCAGGTTTGGTTGGAGCTGAAGCTGACACTTCTTGGGAGGGTGTGGTAAGACGGGAAACTGGATTTTCGGAGTCTAATCTATGGCTCCAATGGGTACAGTATACTGCCACAAACATGCACAGTACAGATTGTATAGTGTGTTCTCAACCTAGGCCTATGCCCACTCCTATACGTTCCAGATTCAGACCAATAAGTCCTATATCAAATGTATACTGGAGCTCTTTGTCCTGCAGACTCAGCCTGTCCACCATACTTGTCTAGAGTTCCAATGGGATTATCCGCCAGCTACCTTGAGCACGCCACCTCAATTTATGGTTCCAGATGGTACATTTGATTGCATAGTATCAGAGATAACGGGAGGGATAAAAGTAGGTGACATTGTAGGAGTAAACCGTACCACAGTTCAGTTTGCTAATGTCACTCGATATTCAAGTGTGTTGAATCAGACGATTTCCAGAGCCGACCTCTGGTGGTGGTGTGGAACTAAGGTTATTTATCCAACGCTGCCAGCTAATTGGACGGGTACTTGTGCATTAGTGCAGCTTATCATGCCATTCTATGTCTTTCCAGTAAAGGAGACCACATTTCAAGACTTGATTTCACCACATCCTCACGTCGCCAGGAGAGCGAAGAGATCCACTAGTCCTGCGGGCTCATTTGATAGTCATGTGTACTTAGATGCCATTGGGGTGCCCAGAGGGGTGCCTGATGAGTTTAAAGCCAGGAATCAAATTGCGAGCGGCATAGAATCCTTTTTCTTCTGGTGGGTGACAATCAATAAAATGTAGACTGGATTAATTACATATACTACAACCAGCAGCGATTCATAAATTTCACCCGGGATGCCATAACAGGGCTCCACGAGCAGTTGGATAAGACTAGTTTGATGGCATGGCAAAATAGAATGGCACTGGACATGATCTTCGCAGAGAAGGGAGGAGTCTGTAGAATGTTTGGATCTGCCTGTTGTACTTTCATTCCCAACAACACAGCTCCTGGTGGCTTGGTGACCAGAGCACAAGCCCCACTGACAGCTTGAACCAGCAGCTGACAGACAACTAAGGCGACGACAATCCTCTCACCAACGGGTTTGTCAGTATTATAGCACAACAGAAAAGTGCATTCCTGTCTGCGTTAACCCTTCTTGTGTTACAGTCATGATCTAGTCCACTACGGATGAAGCTGCATCTCCTGCATCCTTGGATTCCTGCAGGGATTGATCGATATTGTGTTTAGTGAGACTAGTATACAGGGAAATCTGTAGCGAGTAGATGATGAGGGACAATCACTGTTGACGGATGTGACTGTATGATAATTTTTCTGTCTTTGAGAGATGCTCACAGTGAACTGTGAGCAAGGAGGGAATTGTTAGGGATTTAAGCCAGAAGTGCACCCCTAGTCAGGGAATTTGTAGTACGTGTAATAATGTTTAGTGATAGAATTATAGTTTGTGTGATGTTAGATTAGTTATTACATTAACATGTTAGATGAAGTGAATACAATGTGAATCAAACACAGTATATAGTCTTTTAAAACGTAGAAACACACTACACATTTACATTCTGTTACAATGTGATGTTAAAACCTGGGACGGATGCCAATTGCCGTTCTTTATGGATTTCTCCCAATTTTATCCCCAAAAAGGGTTTTTTGGGAGTTTTTTCTCCTGTCAGGTAATAATGAACAACTTATTGCAAGGCAGCCGACTGAGGCAAATGTCTTGAGAATTGAACCACATGAACTGTTTTAGATCTTATGATGAAGTGTGATGAACGGTGATCATTAATGATGGGTTGTTGTAATGAAAGTGTACTAGTTATAAGATGAAGACTTAAACGATGTATGCTTTGTTGGGTTCACTCATTGAGGCATAAAGCCACTTTATCTGTATTGAGTGCATTGGAATGTGAGGGACAGCTAGGTCAGAGAGGTTTCAGGTTACGGCTGCAGCTTCACACCTCGACGTGGAAGGGACAATGGAGGAGGTGACCCTTTGGAGAAGAGGCCAATGACATTCAAATGCACCAAAGAAGACACACCTCAAGAGTTTTCAAAGGACCAAAGCGGGGAAAGACTGTTAGAACTTCTCCTGCAGCCGCGTTGATAAGTCACTTCAGACTTGCTCAGAGGATTCTCTATTTCGCGAAATATTCCACTGTTCGCTTAGTATTTCACTTTGTAATTGTAATCCCTATTACGTTGTTCAGTTATTAAATAACTTTTGATTTTTGAATTTAAACGAATTGACTCATTCGTGTCCTCGTTTCCGGCCGGGACGAGAACAAAGGATTGAGGCCTCCCTCGAGAGCTTCCGAAACCTTAACACGCCCAACACCTCATTCGTCCTTACCAACTTATTCCCATACACAGCTTACAACCTCACTATTACGGCCACAACGCGTAAAGGCTCAGGGCCTCATCTGCTGCTGCAGCTGCACACTGATGAAGGAGGTTAGTTTGAACGCCGGTTTAAATTGTCTCTAAAATCCTAATAAGATGATAGTTATTAATGAAGATATGGGTGTATATCTAGTCTTCCTCTCTATCTGCCTCACTTTGTGTTTCAGGGCCCATGTCTCCTCCCCGCAACCTCACCATATACAACCACACGGCATTCTCTGTGTGGCTGAGGTGGGAGTCTCCCCTGGAGCCCAATGGAGTGGTGATACAGTACGGCTTCAGGATCCGAGACCTCATCACACACTCCGTCACACACAAGGTAACCGGTAATTTCACACACCAAGAGCTTCTCCACAATAACAACACTCACACTCACTCCAGAGACACACTCTTTGAGACTACACACAGTCACGCCCACGTTAGCTCTAATTTCACACTTAGGGAAGCACTCGGCAGCACCATTAGACATACATATACATGCACGTATGGTTGCCTATACAATACCATATTATACACTCCAGTAAACAGGATTGGATGATTTAATCTCCTGTCATTTGTTTTTAATGTGTGTGTAGAACTCCTCCGGTACAACGACCACAGAGTATATATCAGGATTCAGGCCTCATAGCTCCTATGAGACCTGTGTTTACAGCTACACCCGAGTGGGCCATGGGAATCAGTTCAGCAGCCCAGTGACCTTCACCACTAACGAGTCAGGTAAACCACACACTGCCTACCCAGAAGGGATGTTACACTGATGTAGGTCGGGTTTAAAACATTGGAACTATTTCAAAGACTCCTCCAAAGAGGTTAATTTTGTGAAGGAAGTGAAGATGCTCAGCAGCATTAAATAGTTTAAGAAAAGCCAAATGTGATTCTCCTCAAGAGCAACGTGTTTATTAATGCAGATTGGCCGGCTGTGAAATCAATGATAGATAGACAAATGAAATATGGTAACAATTGTGAGTAAAATATGGAATACGTTAAATCTTTTAATTGCTGATATCCCGATCTCTTGACTATAACCTCGTCCAATCCTTCTGTCTACCTCAACAGCCCCAGCTGCCCCTCGCTTCCTCACCATCTCTCAGGTCACAACTAACAACGTGACGCTTCACTGGACTGCACCGTTTTCCATTCCGGGCCTCCTGACTGGGTACCACATCATCGTGCAGCTGCTTTCAACAGTCTGTGAGCCAAATGCACTGAGTACCGCAAAGCCGGCCCCAGAGGATGAACTGAGCCCAGGCTGCGTGGACTCTAATGCCACAGTGTCAGTGAACGCGTCGGATGGCATGGAAGAGAACGGCGGCGTCACACTCCACTCCTTGGCTAAGTACAGATACTACCGCTTCAAAGTGGCTGCTGTGACCAGGGCTGGAGTCGGGGAATATACACAGTGGAAATATGCACGTACACTGGCTGGAAGTAAGAGCGTCACAAAGATGACATCTTTTTGTGTTGCGGGGAAACAGTTGTCAGTTAGTCAGTATTTTGTTTTATTTATTTTCAATTTGAATAATGTGAATCATGTTTGTTTGTGTATAAGTAAGTAAGGGCATCTCTTAAACTCAAATAAAATTGTATTTTGCTATAAAAGAAAGTCTTTCTCTTTACAGTATTAGAACAGGTTGAAATTGTTCAGAGATTCAGCATTCATAAGTTGCACAAAGGCTTACATTTAAATCAATGGACATTTGCATGATAACTAAGCAACAATTGACAGGCTTTTGACATCATAAGCATTCTGTGTTCCTCTTATGTTTTCCGTCAGACCCTGATGAGCCTCCCCGGGACATGAATGTGATTCCCTCATCCAACGGCCTTCGCATTTCATGGGGTGCTCCCGCTGTTCTCTCTGGACCGACTTCTTATCTTGTTCGGGTCAGTTCATCGAGTTTTGGTTTTACATGAACCCAATATGACACCGATAACCAACATTGCTGCGTTGATCCAACTGTGATCATCCACATGCGAGTATTAAATCTTTCCACAAACTCTCACGTCACACCAGGTGGATGGTCTTGGTTTGAACTTCTCAACGGTCAGAGCTCCGGGAGAGTTGACGACTGTCGTTGTGACCAACTTGACTGCTTTCACTCGTTACTCGGTGACTGTCACCTCGTTCACTGGTCCGTTGGAGCACGCTGCCAGCAATGGAAAATCCATCGGGCCTATTGAATTTCAAACAATGGAGGAGGGTATGTGGAAATATCGGGCGCAACTAGCTCCTGTCCACCTGTAAATACACCCAGATATCTTTTCTCACACCATTTGTACTCCAGAGCCCAAAGACCCTCCCAAGAATGTGACAGTATCAGTTATCCCAGAGGAGGTGAACCATGTGAAGGTGACTTTTACCCCTCCAGGAGAGCCCAATGGACAAATAACTGCTTACTTTGTGTACATCTACGAAAAAGACCAACTGGTCCAGAACATCAACCTTAATATCACAGAAAGAGAGGGAAACAGGATGAGTGCTGTCATAAGAGGCCTAAAGGGAGGACACAGCTACAGCGTCCAGGTTAAGCACGCACACATTACACACACATTACACACCCTCACGGCCCAAACCCAGACAAGTTTAAACCGGTCCAAATGTCATTTTCTTTAACTCCTTTTTGTGCTTGCCCCCCATTCTGTCCTTTCTTCTATTTGCATCTAGATTTTAGCAAAGAACGGGGCTGGGAGTGGCCCACCCAGCCCACCCGTCCAGATAACTACAGGAATCATAGGTACAAGTCACAATATATTAAGTGTGCTCCGCATTGCTCGGCAGCATTTCCTGTTATAAAAAAAATGGTGTCATTTCAGGTCTATTCTAGCATAGCAAATATAACATAGCAATATTGTCAGATGTGTGTTGATGCTGTAAAGGACTGAGCAGTGCACTGTTTTTAATGACCTCTATGGAAAAGCATCAAACTAATTCCACATCTTTACATTGTATTCACGCAACAACCTCTGTCTGTCTGTCTGTTTGTTTGTTTGTTTGTGTATGTGTTTGTGTCTGTGTATGTGTGTGTGTTCCAGCCCCGGCCAAACCAACCCAAATACCTACGGCAGTGCTAGGCAATGGAGGGGTTGCCATGCTAACCCACAGGAGTATCACCATCCGCATGCCTGCCTGTTTCTATAGGGATGACAACGGACCAATCACAAAAATTCAGGTCATCGTGGCGGAGTCAGGTGGTATGACTCCTCAGAAACATTGACATCTGTCACTTTTAGTTGAATAGACTTGGGTATCGGCCTTGCTTTTGGCTTCAAGCCTCTTGTGGAATCTAGTGGCAAAAGTCAAAATGTATGCAAAAGCCAAAGGGCTTAAAGTCAGCAGAAATTTGACTCATTCGACCTGTGATTCCTTTTCTCTCTGCCTGACTTACTCATCCTGTCACAGTGAAGGACATCCAGAACCTGACCAACTGGAAGAAGGCCTTCTTTGATCGTGCCGCCCCTTACCTGACCGACACGGGGTTCCCCAACCCGCCGTGTCCGTTGGAGGACGGGTCTGTGCGCACAAGCACACAGGTCAGAGGCGGTCGCAGTGTCTGTGGGGGCGCGGCCAGCAGCGAGACTAGATCCCACTACGGCAGAAACGTACGTGATCGGTCGAAACGATGGCTGTATAAAGGAGAACAACACTGACATTTACTGCAATGGGCCACTGAAGCAAAACACCGTCTATGTGTAAGTGCAGCGCACATTCACCAGCAAAACAACTTAAGATCATTGTATCAGGGGTCGTCGTGGCGTAGGGGTTAGAGAAGGTGTGCTGGGAAGCACAAGGTTGGTGGATTGGTTCCAGACTGCCCCATGTTCCATGTCGAAGTGTCCCTGAGCAAGACACCTAACCCCTAATTGCTCCCTGGGCAAAAATGTGAAAAAAGCCATGGGTTTAAAGTGTAATGTAAGTCGCTTTGGATAAAGCGTCTGCTAAATGACATGTAATGTAATGTATCCACATGTTTTATAATATTAAATTGACTCTGGACCGCTCCATGTTTAACAGGTTCAAGTTCAGAGCCACGAATATCAATGGTCAATACACAGACTCGCAGTACTCCGATCATGTCAAAACTGCAGGTATTCATACTAATCTCTGTACTTGTCTCAATATTTTTTTTTCAATGTATAGCTTCCATAGTTTTGTGTGATGCTGTCACCTCTATCTCCTCTTCTCTCTGCAGTGGACGGACTGTTGACCAGAGAAGAGCAAATCATTCTGGGTGTTTTGCTCTCCTTCTTTTGGCCGTGTTGCTCATTGTCATCATCTGTGGCTCTGTCAAGTAAGCCGGCAGCTGGCGTTCAATGATTTGCAACATTGATTGCAATTGAGTGTTAATGCATGAAAATTACAATCTGCAGTGTAACGAGCAAAACAATAAGAATTTCACAATGGATGATTTCCAATAAATCTGTTTCCTTGTGTGTATGTTTTACAATGTGTTTACATTGTATTTAACTAGATGTGTTTGTTCGACATGTTAGAATCCAACAGCGCAAGAAGGAGGGCGGGACTTACTCACCCAGAGAGGCAGAGATCATAGAGACCAAGTGTAAACTGGATCAGCTGATTGCCGTTGCAGATCTGGAGCTGAAACTGGAAAAACTCAACCGGTTAGTCTCTGATTTAACTGTTGCAGACAAGATTTTATACCTTAGTCAACAAGACAAAAATCTTAGTTACCTTTATCTGCGCTTATGTCAGGCCAAAAGCCCTTTAGTGGTGTGAAAATAACGCAGTGTCATTGTGACTGCAATGTATCTTCGCTTGTCTGCAGAACAGACGGGTTATTCTCTCTTCAACCATCCTCTCATTCAAATTGAGCGTCAACCCCTTTTTCTGCTTTGGCACAAATAAGTATGCCGACAATAAGTGTGTCAAACTGGGGAGAAAAAAAATCAAGCTCATTTGGTTTTGGTGTATGGTCATTGATGGCTAAGAGGAATCTACAAGAGAGAACATGAGTATTACAATGAGAAATGTTAGACTTTTAAATTAGATAAATACTAACCAATGAGCATAAACACTGTCCATCCCACCATCTATAGAATACCTATTTAATGATGGACGGTATAAAATATGGGTTATCTTCAAGAGGAATTGAATAATAATAAAAAAACATAAAACCCTCAAGATAGTTAAATAAAAGAGCTTCTTTGTTGCCAGACAGCTGCCCCTTATATAGCACATATTTGCCCTCCTTATTAAACTTCAAGACAACATTTTTGCTGTGACTCTTTGTAGTCCCAAAAAAGGAGACAGTGCCTTAGGATACTTTCCTTTCCACTCATTTTAAATGTTCCCAAAAAAGATTGTAGGCTTGTCACCATCGCATGTTGGTACCACTCGGCTGCATCAGCTCTCTTGTAAGCTGGCATCATTAAGATTGTTTGTGGCTCTGCTTTATTGGAGCCAAGATCTGTATAAACACCACATATTTAAATGTGATACAACACACTTTTTCTTGTCACGCAATGGCACAAATAATTTCCCTTGCACAACACTTACCAGTCTTATTTCACCAGGTACTCTTCCTTCTTCTTTAGGCGGAAAGAGATATATGTCATCCAGTAAGTTGGGCTTTTTGACGTGTGTGTGCTCTGTCTGCATGTTGCGTTTCACTTTTCAGTCGTCGCTATGTGCGGCTCATTGTCAAGTTAACCATAATGCTTTTAATCACCCATTGGCATTGCTTATTAAACCTAAACAAAGGACATCAGTGGGTCAGCCTTTTTCCTTTTTCCAGACACTTCTCTGCTTGAGACTATTTTATTTTGTTTACCCACTCACTATCTCGAAATTGCTCTGAAGGCTCTTGAAGGGCGCCAAGCCTTCAAGTGGAAAACAATAGATCTGCGTAGTGTCTTCAGTATTGCAAAGAATCAACATCCGAAATGGGGAATGACCACATGTTTCATTCTAAAGAAACGTATCAGCATCAGTGTTTAATCAAAGTGGACTTGATTATGAAATAGTTTAGCCACCTTTGCTTTAACCTACAATGCCATTTACTCTCTGCAATGACAATCAGTTCAGTTGTCATGGGCAGAATTACCACAGAGTGGTTTTGTGACTATTTGCTTCATTTTGGGGGTGTTTCGGTTGATCTTTGCTGTCTATTCTTGTCCAGGCTGCTCAGCTACAGGAAATCACTCAAGTAAGTCACCCTGCAAGAATCATATTAATATACACACAATAGTTGCAGCATAGATCAATGATCCTCTTTGTGCCTCCCTATACAGTATTACATATTATTACATACCCCTCTGTTCCTCACATGTATGTATGTGTGTTTCTGCCCTCACCTCTCCGTCAGGCCCGTCAACAAGAAGTCTTTTCTGCAGCACGTAGAGGATCTGTGTGCTAATGACAATGCCAAGTTCCAGGAGGAGTTTGCTGTAAGAGTTTTCCTACCAACAGGACAAGTGCTTATCACACATGTGTAAAATGTAGGGGTATATGAAATGACACAAAATAACATAAAAACTCCTGGATTTGATCAAATAAATTGTGAAGAAATGCGTGCTCCTGGAAGAACGGTACATCACAAGGAGCAAATAATAATAATTGGTGATATCGTGTGGACAGCAAAGACGGATGGAAAGTGAAATCAATTAACACCAGGGTTTTTTTACTGTCTTTACAGAGAAACATTTTATGAGGAATACTGCCCTATTCTAAATAATATATTTTGCTTTATTTATCATTGTTAACTAATGATATAGTCATAAAAGTGTCCTCTACCTCTACTGCAGCCATCTAAGACCCAAACTTTGATCATTCTTGATTTGAAGGCTGATTTCTTGATTTCAACATTTGAAATTTCTGCCATAATAAAGTAGGTGTGAAAGAGAACCTTTACTTTTATTAAGTTCAAAATGTTTTAAGAATACCCAACATTGTGTGTCTTTGTGATTACTAACGTGCTACATATTATCTCCCCAGGAGCTTCCAAAGTTGCTGCATAACCTGGCCACCACAGATGCAGACTTGCCCTGGAACAAATCAAGGAACCGCTTCCCCAACATCAAACCTTGTAAGTGCTCAGACTGAAAAGGACTTTTCCTGAGTAAAGCTACTCATAGTGTGTAACCAACGATGTGTGTCAGCTCTACCATTAACTGCGTCTGGATGTCACGTGTTTCTACCTCACGCCAGACAATAACAACCGAGTGAAGCTGCTGTCTGAACCGGGATCCGCGGGCTCTGACTACATCAACGCCAGCTTCGTCTCAGTGAGTACCAGCTACCAGATGCTAAAAGCCCACTTTGTTCCAGACATTTCCCAGTCCTCTGGTGATTCTGTAGGATAGCCAGCCTTTTATAGCTTTTCCATTTGTCAGTGAATATTGCTTGAGTTTTTGTCACCTGCCCCTCTCTTTTTGTTTTCTAGGGCTACCATTGTCCCAACGAGTTCATCGCCACCCAGGGCCCCCTGCCGGGCACAGTGGCTGAGTTTTGGAGAATGATCTGGGAAACGGGAACCCACACCATCGCCATGCTCACGCAGTGTTATGAGAAAGGCAGAGTGCGTCATGGGCAGATTTACCACTGTTATGAAATAGTATTCAGAGGACGGGCCGGGTGACATTTTGGGCTCCTCAACAACTCGTGTGATATCTGCTGCAAAGAAATTATGTGTTTGTGTAGTTATGTGTGTGTGACCATTCAGATTCGGTGTCACAAGTACTGGCCAGAGGACAATAGGCCAATGTCAGTGTTCAGTGACATTCTCATCTCAAAGGTGTCAGAGGAAGTCCTTCCTGACTGGACGGTCAGAACCCTGAAAGTAGAAAAGGTAACCAACAACCCCTCACGCACACACACAAAGATGATTCAAGCCTTTATTCTAAGCTGAGGTAATATTCTCTTGTTGCTGTTGATTCATAATTAACTCACAGAAATTTGACTAGTCACATGTTCCCAAAACGTTCTATTCCTTTCAGAACTTTATTGTCGAGTTATTTGTTCCAATTCGCACAAACATAAACCCTTTTTCCAAATACATGTGACGTAGCTTTCATATTAATTGCACTTAATTTCTTGTGTAAATTCCTCTGTGCAGCACGGGCACTATATTTGGTTCGCCACTTCAACTACACATCGTGGCCCGAGCATGGAGTGCCAGAGTCCTGCACCACTCTCATCAAGTTTGTGAAAGCTGTCCGATCCCACAGACACAACAACACCACCATAGTGGTCCACTGCAGGTACCGCGCCACGGCAGTGGTAGTTTACTGACACTGTATAAATTACAGCCAAGTGTATTCTACTCTGTTTCTGGTGGGGAAAAAAGAGTTTCATCCACAAAGTGCATCTCTCGTTACTCCTCAGCGCTGGTGTGGGAAGAACAGGCGTGTTTATCGCTCTGGACCACGTTATTCAGCACGTCAGAGATCACGACTTTGTGGATGTCTATGGCCTCGTGGCGGAGCTCCGCAGTGAGAGGATGTGTATGGTACAGAATCTGGTGAGTTCAGTTCAAATAGAATTATCTGGGTTGTCCTTGTGGTCGAATGTTCCCAAACCAGAGAGAATAAACAAAAGACATAGTATGACAGGTATAATACAGCATGTTGTCTTAAGTTGGTTCAGTACACTTAAGAATCCTCAAAGGCACACAAATGGTGGCCTAGTTGTTCTACTTGTTTTAAAATTCATGTCCTGCTAGGATCCGATCCCCAGAAGAAAACATTTAGTAAATTATTGTATTGACAAAGGAAATTATCTGAATTAAAGCCACTCGCTGAGCAGGAGTCCCGCTGAAACAGCACCTGATTGAGGCATTACTTGCAGAGCAGCGGTGTGTGTCTGCAGGGACCCTCTTCCAGTGCCTGTGCTTTTCCTCTGTACTATGGTTTTATTGTTTCTGTGATTTCTTTTGACTGTGAGTATGAGCCTGTAGTGTCTACAACTACAACAGCAGCTTGATTCTTTGAGAGAGCAGAAGTAAGTGTGCCTGACAGCTAGCTGCATGCTGCTGCATGCTGGTCCAGCCATACAGAATATGAGGAAAGTGCTTCGGCGAGAAAGAGGCCACCATTCAAATCAATTAAAGGTTACGTGCGCCATTGCAGACAGTTTTAAACAAGCCCTATTTTGCACACTTTCATCTGAAATACTTAATGTCAAGTGCAAACAAAAGCAAATTTTCTTGCAAAAAAGATCTTTCAAAGATCACTTCATATTTCCAGGATCCTATTTTGCTTTCTACTGTTGAGCTTACAATAAAAGGGCCATGAATGATTATTTTAACAGATCCTACACTCTAAAAATGTCACGGTAAATTAATGGTATTTTACCGGCAGCAAGGACGCCAGGAATTTACTGTTTTTTACGGTATTATACCGTAAAAAACAGTAAATTCCGTAAAACGGATTACTGGATGTTACCGTAAACTTGAACCAATTTTACTGTGAATTAACTGCCATTTACTGTCAGTCGACACTAGGAACTTACTGTTTTATTTACAGTGCCCTACTGTAATATACAGTATGTTGTCATATATTGGATTACAGTTTGTTACCATACGATTACTGTTTTTGTGTTATAAATACCAGAATGTTACCGTTTCCTTATAACCGTATACTTTTGCATTCTCCACAAATTAAAGAAAGACAACCAAACTCATTTCGGTCATAGTGGTTGGAGTTTATTAGATGCCTTTAAGACAAAAATGTTAGGCATTTGTAACCAAGATCAAAACATAAAATATGCCGCATGTATACAATAATAAAAAAACGAATCATAAAATCATTAGGAACAAGGTAAACTAACTGCAACAATACGCTATAGAACACTTTCAATTGACCGCAGCAAACGGCTGGCGTCCTTAATCCAGTGCCTCTGTAAAACAAACCAAAATAAAATTTAAAATGTAACTGTATGTTACAGTTATTATGACATACTGTAAGATACCGTTAGAAATGTACCGTAAATTTACAGCAATTTGTTACAGTGTATACTTTAACCAGGCTCACAGCAATATACCAATATGAATAAATCAATATTGAATAGCGCTATGAGGTCAAGAGGAACATTGTACAAACATTGTTGCTTTAAATTCATGTGATACAGCAAGGTAGACAACTAAAATGAATTGTTGGGTGACTTTGATCAGGTCTGCTCAAGTCCTCTCCTGGAGTTAACAGCAATCCACTGATCTAATTTGGCATATTGTTTTCGGTTGATTCAGCTTAACAAATAGACGCTGACAGAAAGTAAACCAAATTCCTTCAGGGGTGAAGGTTATCATTCGTTGTCCATCGCAGTCCAATCAAAAGAGTTGCTGTGTGCATTAATCTCTGGCAGCATCAAGCGCCCGTCTCTCTGCACTCATGAGCGCTAATGAGCAGCAAATTTTTTCAGCAATGTGGCAGGTGAAAGACTCTCATCTCAATGGGAAGCTATCTCAAAATAAGATGTACAGTGGTGAGTTTTAAAATGTTGTCCATCCTTCTAAATAAATTGGAATTAAATCTGTGGATCAGCTCCGATAGGTTTGTCATCTGAAGGGAGGAAAAAAGCCTTGAACGAAATGTCATGGTGTTAATTTATAATCCAGTAGGACTCCCGACTCAATTCTACATGAAATTCATTTTGTTTCGACATCAGCCCAGTGTCTGTGCCCATGTGTATCTGTATGTGCGTGTCAGGCCCAGTACATCTTCCTGCACCAAAGTACACTGGAACTTCTAAACAACAAAGGCAACAGCCAATCCATCTGGTTTGTCAGCTATTCAGCTCTGGAGAAGATGGACTCCCTCGATGCCATGGAAGGTAAACACACTCGCATGCAACAACACACTTGAACAAACCCGTGCCCCCCACAGCACAGCGCTCACCTCCACACCTTTGTGCTGGTCTCAAGGTGATGTTGAGCTGGAATGGGAAGAGACCACCATGTAAAAGGCTGACTGAGGGATACCGTTGCCTGGGTGAGAGTGAGGCCTCTAGGGAAGACTCTGGACCAGCCGCCTCCACCACAAAGCCGGGGGGAGGAGGAGGAGGTGAGGAGGAGGAGAAAGAGGATGTGAACGGCAATGTTTGAACTGAGCTGTCAGTCAACTAAGACTTTGTTGCTCCATTTCACCCTGCTTCTCAGTTGCAGTCCTCCATTTAATCAACTTCTTGTCCACGTTGTTTTCAAATCGAGTAAAAACAAAAGGCAGATAGTGACAAAGAATTTCAGAAATTGTGGGAAGAAAAGAGTAAAGCAGTGAGCTGACATTTGTAAGCCTATAATTTGATTTCACTGAGTATTGTAAGTATTATATTGATATTACCTATGTTTATTCGAGCCAAAATGGTGTTTTAGTTTCAATCTTGTTTAATTCTGACTATGTTGAAGTGTTGGCAGCATTTCTATATTGTTTATGCTTCTTAAGAGTGATTTGCAGAAATAAATGGCCATGACACGCTAAACATTTAAACTTTCCTGCAAGTAAAAATTAAGCTGTTGTCTATGCCATATGAAATGACAAATTACTACTCGTTTTCTTATTGTTTAGAGGAAAAACTCCATGGAAAACGATGACATGTAGACTCCCAACTTGACATTACACTAGTCAGATTCAATATTGCTTTGTCTTTTGTGTGCTTGGAGGAACAGCTGTGCAGACTGATTACCCATGAGCTCTGTTATGCCGCCGTCCTCCTTGCACACCTGAAGCACATTCATTCATTAGAGAGGTGGGGGTGATACAGATGCAGATATTTGGGAAGAGAGGATTCAGGCGTCAACAGACACAGAAATGTCAGGACTACTACTTTATTCTTTATTCTCTTTGAACAGAAAACAAATTAGAAATATTCCATTAGTAAACATGTTGAAATCTACTCTTAGAAATATTGTTAGGGTGCAAATATTATTGACAGTGCTCCACATTGAGGATGCAGATTGGTGCGTCCCCATGACAACCATGGAGAAGGGCAGGGCTAAGGGGTCGGGCAGAAAGATAGGAAGAGGAGAAAATGACATTAACCAACCCAACATGCCCTGACATAATAATACAACATATAAATAAACTGCCCATGTGTACTGTAAATAAAGAAACAATATCATGCTGTTTAGTACAAGTCAGTCAGTAAACAAAGTGGGTTGCTGACTTGAGAAATCAGTCTCTAAGTGTATTCTATGTTGTATTTGCTGTTGCTTTAACAGCTATGTGCCTGTGTGTGTGTGTGTGTGTGTGTGTGTGTGTGTGTGTGGTGTGGTGTGTGTGTGTGTGTGTGTGGTGTGTGTGTGTGTGTGGTGTGTGTGTCTGTGTGTCTGTGTGTCTGTGTGCATTGCCTGTGATTCCCTGCACATATTCATCAATACAGAATAGCCCTTTACACATCTTAACAGGTGACACAGACACATCTTAATTATTCTATGATAATACGACACTATAATTTCATGATGATTGTAGATCTGTAATGATATCAGTGTGTTGCCATGGTAACTGCAGTGTGCTCTAGAAAAGCTGCCTGATTCCTGTCTCTCCTAGCAGAAGGATTCACACCTGTGAATAATAATAATAATATAGCTATAATATAACTATAATACTCTTTTTTTAAACTAGATCTTCTCTGTACAAATACATACCTAGATACACACACTGGGCAAACAATCAATTTTTCAGAATAAATCTATATTATCTATGTTGTCTCCAATATATTCTGTGGTGCAAAAGATACAAGACAGTTTGGTGTGCCTCAGTTGGATGATTTGCAACCTAATTTACAAAGTGACTCAGGCTCTGGACAGACAACCCGATGATGAGATCAATACTTTTTCCATGATATTCCTTCTTCCGCTTCGCCTCTAATTAACATTCAGTATAGAAATGCTACTCGGCTTATATAACTTTTTAGTGTGCACGATAAAATATAATTTGTGAGAGGAGAGTGATGATTTTGTGAGGTGACTTTGGTATTTCCTGTGTGAAGCAAATCATATAATTATTTCGGGCACAAGTACTGAATCCATAGGTACTAACAGTATTCATACTCAGTGACCCATTAGAAGTCAATTTGAAGCAGGAGAAAAGCTTTATCTGGCTGTTTTAGCCTTGATTTTGTATTAATTACCAGCTGTACTCCTCTGCTGCCCATGAGTAAGCAGACTGAATCATTCACCAGCACGCTGCTCTCGGTTCAACTCAGATGTCACAGTGCAGCAAATGATCTCCTGAACACTAAGGGAGCAAAGTGCCACAGAATCAGGGCAGACGCACAATATATTGTGAAGACATCTTCTCTCACAAGTTTAGCAAAACACAACAACAATGAAGCACAGAAAAATATGATTGTCGCCAGGATGTGGTTTTAGGTTAATTTAGTGAGTAGCAACATTTGTGCTTAATGCAGTTTATTGCACATGAGGGTGCATGAGGGTGGAGATGCTGGCACCAATTGGTCTGTTTCTTGGGCCTCTCCCTCCACCACTGATTAGTTATCTATTCCCTTGAAGATGAAGGAAACTAATAAGCTGCTTCTGTCGTTTGTTCCCATTATGTAGAGATGAGAGGAACAGAGAGACTGCAGTGAGGAGATTATCTCTGCTGAAATGATTCCTCACAGAGCAGTATCTAACACTGAATACCTGTGTACGAGGTGTGGACATAACATAAATATCCTGAAAGAGAACCAAACAAACAAGTTTTGTCCTTCATATTTAAAGCGATCCCTCAACTCTTTTCAGGGCTCCCATAAAAAGTTCCAACAATGCATAACTCACAGACACATATGTTGCAAAGGTGAAATCTAAAAAGCAGAGTTACAACATCTCTTTAGTGTTAAATCTAACCGGTTGACATGTTGGAGCAAAAGAAAGAAGAAACATTGTCTTTCACAAATGGCATTAAAACTACTACCACATTCAAAAACATCACCATTCAAAACTATGAATAGATCTTTGTTGGTTTCCTTTCTGTTGTCCTTTTACTCCACTCATGCAGTATATTCCTCTGTTTTTTTTTTCTAGAAACGCTTTAATCTACCATTCAAAACGAGAATGTGTGTGTGTGCTCCGAAAGTGATCCATCTGTTCCGTTTTGGGGCCCAAAGGTTTCGCCGGGTAGCCGTCGACTCAGACGATGCTGCGGGAACCGCTGGAGTTACGCCTGCGGGTTAGGGGCAGGGTGGTGGTGGAAGGGCATGGGCGAGTCCGGGGGACAGAACTGGTGGGGGTGGTTGTATGGTGGAGGTGGAGGCGGCAGAGGAGGCTGAGGACCATCTCCCCCATCTATGACCCGCACGGGCGTGGACATGGCCGAGTGGATGAGCTGGTGGGCGGCCGGGCCTTGGCTGAGGAAGGCCTCCATTCGCCCTCGCCCGCTCTGGTCCACCACAATCACCTTGACTATCTGCTGGCATTGGATGAGTGTGTCTGGGCGAAGGTCTCCGGGCGGAATAGAGCCGAGCAGGGCGGGTGGCGCGGCCAGGGCCAGAGGCGTCGACTCAATACTGGGCTGGCTCAGTTGATAGGTCTGCAGCCTGTTGTGAATTGACACCTAGTTTAGGAACAGTCAGAGAACGCATGAGGAGTTACCAGCCTGAACGCAGCCTCTACGCAGCCCTCTGGTGTGTTACGCACGTGGGCATGCAGGCGTGCAGGCATGCAGGTAGGCATTGGTGCAGGGCGAGCACATGCAATATATACGCATACTTTAGACTATTTTTCTCTCAATCGTGTTTTTACAGGATTCACCAGGCAGAGCAAAGAGCAGCGGGGGTAAAGAAGAGAGTTTCTGATGTTGCGTGAGTGCGTGTGTGTTTGTGCGAAGCTTCAAGTCAAAGGGAGTGTCAGGAGAGGAGAGAGGTGACACTGGGGGCGGGTGTCTCCCTAACACACTTATTTGCAACCATAAAGGACTGACTGAGAGGCAGAGAGAGAGAGGGGAAAGAATGGGCAACGGGATAAAACAGAGACAAAATTGCAAACGAGGAAAACAGTCTCCAAAGCTAGACTCAGTTAAAGCATGGGCTTGTTTTACAGACACACACACACACACCCGCACGCACTCCACAGACAGACAGTATCAAGCTTATCTGGCTTTGTAGATGATATTCTAGGAGCCAGCCTGGCTTATGGTGGGTCGCAAAGGCTTATACAATCAGGCTGGCAAGCAGCAGCTGATGACAAACGGGCAGCTGTGCAGGAAGCAGAGTGGCTGCTGAACCACTCACGAGGCACTGAAGAGACTGCGGCGCCACTACGGCGCCCTCCTCTCAGCAGCCTCTCTGTCATCGGCTGCATAGTGAGGATGTCCCATTAGTGGAGCGCTTCTAAAAGCGAAGCATAAAGCCAACTTTCCTATTTACGAACACACACACACAGACACACACACAGACACACAAATACAAAACCCACAGAACAAGAGAGGCAGGCGCTTACCTGAGTAAGACATGAGTGGCTTTTGCACTTACCTCTACTGTGTTGTTGTTGCCGGTTTATCGTACGCATCCTGTTGCCCTGTTGGTACAACAGGTCTATTTGTAAGTCAACAGGCAGATTTATGCTCCTATACAGAAAATAGTTACTCATTATGCATTTTGAGAATCTACACAGTCTCAGAGAACGAGATGATACGACGACACGTCTCACATGGAACTAGAGTCTAGTTCAAAACATCTGAAGGTTTGTGTCCTGGTAGATATATAAATATATCTATCTGTATAGATATAGATATAGATATAGATATATATTGGCCATAGCCAACTTAGCATGAAGGGAAAGAAAGTTGCTCTGTCCAAAGGCTATAATATCCACCACTAGCACTTTGGGATTTTCTTAATATAAGTGCATTACAAATTAAATGTATTATTATTAGTATTATTATTATTACCAGCACCTCTAAAGCTAACTATTAAAATAGTTGTCATTACTACAGTTAAATCTGTACAAGTCTATTAATTCAACCATGCACCTTTAAAATGAATAATCTATGTACAAGACAGTAAAATTAATAAAAAAATAAAACAAAAAGACAAAAAAACAAAAACCATCATTTAATAAAAAAATCTATTGCCCTCTGATCATCATCCCTCCTTTTTTCAATTCTTTTCCAGTGTGGTGAGCTTATCTGTCCTATTTTCTACATTACCTTGAGTAATGTATGCGTTGCTATGACTTAGTATGCAGTGTTGTGCGTTTTATGCTGCACGAGCAAACTAGCACCTGAGGGAGAGCCATGTCCTGTGTGTGTGTCCACTTGCCCGCCATTGGTGTGTACGCCATGTGGCAGGATGCCTTGTTGCCTCTCCAATTCCCCTAAATCACAAGAAAAGAAATTGAAACCAGCCATATACCTACAGTAGAGTGTTTTGGGGGGGTTTTCCGTGCATATGTTGAGGTGTGTGTGCCTTACACTGGATGTGTATCTGCTCCATCTCGTTGACCTCGGTTATCGCCTCTCTGAGCTCTTCTGCAAACTTCCTGAGTTCTTCTCCACTTGGGGAGCAGAAGCTCACCAGCTGCTTCTTCTCCGAGGTGAACGGGCTCAGCATTGTGATGGGGCCGTGGCTAGTCTGATGAGCACCATCAAAAAACAAATCATTTACCATCACTTTAATTCCACGAAAGCATGCCGTGGTTCCGTGTGTTTCGGAAGCACTGTTTTTTTGAAAATTGCAATTGCAACGGTTTTGCAGAAATATTAGGAAGGTACTAAACTATTTACCTCTCGAGGTAGGAAACAGACTATTCATTTCCATGCGACTATTAGGCATTTAAATAAAGACCTACACGGGTCTTCACATTCGTGGTGCCCATTGCAGGTTCAGTTAAAACTTCTTTAACCATAACAGCTGTGAGCGCTAACACAGTTAGCTCTGTCAGCATTATTAGCACCATTATCAGCTAGCCACCGGATCAGGTGTCACCATGTTAAGAGCTTTGTGGAGGCAATCCCTCAATTATGTAAAGTAAATATGCAAAGATTAACATTTTATTCAACCCTTTCTAGAGAGCTCTGGTTTTAAACAGTGCTGAGTTGAAATAGGTTGCATTCGTGGTCATACGTAGATAAAAACAGATTCTGCATTTCCATGGAAATTGTTATTGGTTTAACTTGAACTAACTTTAGTCTGGCATCTCAAGTTGCTAATCGGGAGAAGTATTGGCCCGGACAACCGCTGGGAACACCAAATCCTGTGAGTCACCTCAGCACTTTAGGGTGTACGTAGAACACACTGCAGCGGAGTAAAAGCATCTCACATTCGTTGCTGAAGAGGTGAAACTGCATTCCCAAAGACCTAGCTTTACAGAAGGTGTATGAGGCCGAGCTTTCTTCTTGGGGCACAGCTTTAGGATCTATAGTAGGAACACATGGCACCCGACACAGTTTATGTCTGATTATGTACAAACTACCGATAATTCAGTCGCAAAGACTATTGTGGTTAGAGATTCCTCACCAGCAGCAGGTCATTGAAGAGGAAGACCTCTCTCTGCAGCTGGAACAGTTTCTGTTTATGAGGCCTGTTGGCGTCAGGTACCTCAAACAGACGACAGCAGCACACCAGACGCCTGTGAGGCACGGCGAGGATCTGCAGAGGCAGAGTTAAAACGACAGGCATGGACAGATATACAAACGGCTCGTCGAAATGAGAAATGCTGAAGGAAGGACCTGCACGCAAAGGTTATATGACTCACAGTTTTGAGGCCCATGATGGACTGCTCCACGCGGCTCACGTAGGTGACATGGTCTTCGTTGGAGCGGAGCTCCCTTTGTTGGATCCTCTCATAAATGCCAGCGACCATCTCCCTGGGGATGTCAGCTCCGTCATCCACACCTGAGGCAACGGTAGCCCACAGTCACCTCAAGGTAAGGAGCACTGTAAGCCGCCCTCCGCCCTGTAGCTAGCTAATTATGATAATTCCATCATGGCTTGCTTGAAAACAACATCTTTCATGTTTGACAACAATCTTGGTGAGGTTAATTTAGATGGACGTAAATTGTTAGTAGTAGCTGTTGGAGACCTTTGTTTGAGCCTCAGGTGACCCAAGACCCATATCTTAAAAATAAAATTCTAAGGGAGCCTCAATTAAATGAATCAATGCCGTGGCCTCTGGTGCTGAGCTCTGAGTTAAGGATATCGGGAATCTCCTCCTGAACAGCTGAGTTGTCTTGATGGGGCGAGAGGGAGAGCGCCCTTCGCCTCTTTGAGTAATTTACCTCCCTTAAGAGGCTGTCACTCAAAAGACAGACAGTTAGGTTGATACGAGATGGCTTGTTGTGCAACTTTCCCTCCCTTCAGCTCACTTTTTTTTGTCCTCCTTTACATTTTGGCATATTTCTCAGTTGGATCTCCTCATGATCTGCTGTATGTCACCCCTGAAACATGTCTGCCAGGCATTTTATCTATCATGTCCACACTACCTGAGACGACACATGCACACAACATCTAGTCAAACACACACTATCTCTCAATATGCTCATACATGTATTTGGACGCACTTACCTCTGAGGTTGCGTATGAAGTCATCGAGGCCCATTTTGCGCTGAGGTTTGATGTTTGGTGAATACATGTCGGTGTTGAGGAGGACCACGGCAAAGGCCAGGATAAAGATGGTGTCTGGGTTGTGAAACTGCTGCACCACATCAGGATTACACATACAGTACCTCTGGCTGTGGAGGGGGAATAGGACAACATAGACATAGGGGTAAATCTTAAGTGAGGCCTTCTCTTCTCTCATGTCTGGACTAGATTCTAGGCCAATATACCACTGCGATAGACCCGAAAATAGCTTTTATAGAGGAGACGCAAGTCTCAAACCCAGTTTTAAATGTATACGATACGTGCCCTCAAAGTTTATAGCGTCTACATGCAGCATCTACTAACTAAAGGGTGTGATGCAAATTTATCAAACAGGGCACAAGTTTGGTGTATAATACCAAAAATATATATTAATATAATTAATTTTAAAAAATCCAAAGCTCCTTGTTGATGGTAGATTCAGTAATGTATCCTATTCCTTATATTGTTTGACTTTATCTGCAAACAGACTGAATATATAACATCATTGTTACTTTGTCAAACAAAAATTGATCAAACTAAAAAAAACGGTGCTATGAAATTTGCTTATTTCTGCTTCGAGATTCAGAATGTTGACGTATTGAGACTGATTTTAAGCCTGGTATCACCATTGAAGCTGCAGCATTTTTCATTTGACTGACTCCACCATGAGATCATGAGTGACAGGAGACAGGAGTCATTTGACAAAATGGCACTGCCCTTTGAGGTAACGCTGCCCATATTTTGACTTCCTTTGCGCCATCACTCCCTCCAGGCTTCACAACTCTCACTTGAAACCCCTCCTTCCTCCACAGCTCCCTCCCTATCTTTCTTACTGTCACTTGCACTTACCAGTGGGCCATTTCAGTAGTGGGAGGCTTTTATCTCTGTGGCCAGGCAGGATCCAGACATGGAGAGGGCCGCTTTGCTCCAGAGGACTATGTACTCACCGGAGCGTCTGACTTACAACCAGAAAGCTTGTTCCCAGACCCCCAAACAAGATCTTAAACAGAGTACGCATAGGAATCAATTGACTGCCGTATATTAATGTGAATAAGAATATTGATGCAAAGAATAGATCCTGCTTGGCTCTGTAGGATTTAGAAACAAATATACGATCCGTTCATAAATTAATTAAAATGCATATAGTGTACACCAGAATACAGCCATGATTCTGAAACTGTGTAATCCATAATAATGACAATATTGTAAAACACTGTAATTCTGCACTGTGTAGAATAATATCAATGCAGTTATGATTGTATTTGATGTAATGTAATCAACTGGAATGCATGCATGTAATACTTGCACAACAACTGATATTGACTGAGGATCATTCAAAATCCGAGTTACACTGAACTCACCAGAAGACTCCGAGGTGTGGACACTGACTTTCACACCTTTAAGCATTGTTATAAATACCTGTAGGAACCATTGTTCTGGAGTTCACTGGTGGAGACGACAGACGGGCACTATGGGGGTCAAAGGACTGACCTGGGGCCTGTTGGTCGCTGAGACCAGCGGCTCCTCAGCTGAGATGTTCTTTTTACCACCACACCATCTCCTTTATTAAATACATTGATTTTAAACCTTTTGATCAGCGATGACCTCTGTCCGTCCGGCGTTTCTTCTTTCTTATTTTGAACCCAACAGCTCAAACACTGCTACACATGTAATATGCACATACGTAGACACACAGGGGCAGAGATGAGCCTCCTGATTTGCCATTTTGATGTAATACTGCAGCCAATTCATCCAAGACTGAAAGCGATGAAAGATCTACTGCGCAAGTGTGAGAGCTTATGGACGGATGTGCATGGATGTGTAATGCACATGAGAGCAAACATTTCAAGTGAATAAATAAAGCTGTGGTTATGTCTATGCATTTGTGTTTATTTGTGCTTCATTCACAGATTTCTTCAAGCACGGATCTCCGTCTACATAACCTGCTTATTCAAACAGCTCCAGATATCTTGTCTTCATATCTTCATACGAATGTTGCATGCCAGCTGGCACAAATTCCAATTCGTATTAAAGAACTACTCACATCAAGAGTACAACACGTTCAAAACAGATGACATAACAACTGTTACGTAACAGACTTGTCATCGGATGTCTGGCCGCCCCAATGAAAGCCCACTATTATCTGACCTGTACTCACAGTTCTTAGCTAGAGAAAGTGTGGCCTCAGATCGCTGATGAATTTGTAATCTGCACCCAGGAGGCTCGGCACATATGATTGAGTGAGTTGTGATTAGCTGATGACCTCGGTGGGTGTTCTGATTGGCCCTCAAATCAGAAGCAGAGAGGGGATGTGTCATGTCTGCTCATTTCCTCTCTTACCTCTAACTTGCCTGTAATCAGGTATTGCTTATGATTCTACAGCCTGCTACAGCTATTAAAACGCATCAATTTGCCACACATTTGCAGTTAAGTTGCATTAGGATAGACCTAGAATTTATTTTGAGTCAATCCTAAATAATCCGTTTTGCTGCTATAAATACTAACTGGAGCAATAAATTAGCACTAATCCGCAGTTGAAAATAGTCCTCAACATATGTGCTATATATTCCTGTCAGAGCAATGTTTTTTGAACCTTTGCATTAGCTGATGTCTCTTATGATGACAAAGTCCATCTGAGGGCCAGTCTAGCACTTTACAGGCTGACATGTCCTCACTAACATTGTTCAGACATTCATTTTCCCCTCAGTAGGTGATCCGCTGACTTTTCAGATCAAATCAACATTCAAATTTGTCAGAAAAGCCACTTTTTATCACTTGTTCTCTAGTGCACTTTATTTTTAAACTTTTTTAGCTTTTTTTTTATTGCACTATGTTGTCTTATCTGTCTTGTTGTCCGTTGTCTTACAGTCTGATGTTATGCACAACCGCCAAGTCAAATTCCTTGCATGTCTAAGTATTGGTATATATGGTAATAAGTGCTCCTAATTCCTGATTCCTGAAGTGTTGTGGCTGTAGACTCAATCTTAAATGTTTAAATCCTCAGTATGAACCAATGGGCTTGAGCCAAAGTGACAGAGGACAGGTACACAGAAAGGAGACCGCAGAGCACAAAAGACAAGCTGAAGGTCAGCAGCTCAAACAAAGTCCACACATCATGATGCAGAAATCAGCATGCAGTACTTTTTCTACGGTAACACTGAATTATACAACCGGCTTGCCGTTCAGGAGGATATCTTGGTTTGTGAGTTCAAAGGGGCAGTGGATCAACCCATGGTGGAGACATTGTTAATAATCCTCAGGCAAAGCCCAGCACATCAGAAGAGGAACATTAATGTATGCGACATTGCAACCATTACTCTGAAACATAAAACAATCATGGCCATTTTTTAGCATTTTGGGAGCGATCTTGGACATTACCGGGACATTTCAAGGGCAGTGTCAGCCAGCGGCAAATGAGACAATTGCAGCTCCAATTGGTCTACTAACTTCTGCCTGTTTCTGCCTCAAAGACCTGCCAGTCAGAAATTAAAATTGCACTATAATGACCTGTTTCTCAATAGGAGTTAGTTAGAGGGAAGCTGCACGGCCAAGTCAACTGGAAGGCCACAGAGAGCGTGCAAGCTACAGTAGGTCTCTCATGTCCTCCCGGAGTTAAAATAAGTGTTTTTTAAATGGCTCCTACAATTTAGTGACTGTAGGGCAAGATCCAATAAGCACAAAATCAGCTTAAGCTAAAACCCCATGAGCATCAAACATGCACTTTTACATAATTATGAGTGATTCCGGATGAAAAGGGACACACAAGTGTCATGCAGCCTGGTCTGGTTAGAAAGTGCCATCCAGGGGAATTAGATGTGAAGAAGAGCTTGTAATTTTGTGCCACTAATGGCCTGCAGCTCATATCATAGCAATGATGGGCTGACAATCAAACACTGCTGAGTTAAGTCAAAGGTTACAGGCAATCGTGTAATTTGCTAATGATACACAGCATTGGTTTCATCAGAGCCTGCAACATTGAGCTGGCATAACCAGTAAAACTAGATTCTAGATACGCGTGTTACCCCCAGGCCACAAAATAACATTAAAAAACTTTTCTATTTCATTGCAAAATATGTGAGCCTGGCCACATGTGTTGCACAAATGGCCAAAGGCAAAGGTTCTGTGCATTTCAAAAGGTTAAGAGTGCCCTTACCAGCTCCGCTAAGTCATGGTGATGGACTGTTGTTGTGTTGAACTGTATTGAAAAAAAAATTATGCCAGAGCCTGTTAGCCAGCCAGGGCTTGTTGT